TGTACTTGGTGCTTGCCCAAAATTAATCTACCTGTTTCCAACATGTATATGAACCTATCACCTGCACCGACATTTGTCATAGACGTTCTTCATGAATTCCTGTGCTAGACGTCATAACTGTTCAACTGGGGTTTCAGTATTTCAGTGCTGAACATCTGTCTACCTATGGCAAGCCTTAGTACTCCATAGCCACCTAAGCACTGAACTGAATACAGGGTAACAAAGTTACAATAATAATAAACTTTATATTATATGGCGCCTTTACCTTCTTACAGCAATAACAAAACAATAACAAATGCAACACAAGATATAAAAAGGAACAGTTAGGTGAAGGCTTGTCTAAAGAAGAAAGTTTTCAGCTTTGATTTGAAAGAGTTTAAAGCCAAACTCCAGGCAAATAAAAAATAATCCCTTTCAGTGGAGCTAAGTCCACCCTACAGGAGCTAATTGTTAATACCTATGGGAAAAACATAAGGAGAATTACCTTCAGGTCCATAAATATTGGGACATCGACACAATTCTAACATATCTGGCTCTATACACCACCACAATGGATTTGAAATGAAACGAACAAGATGTGCTTTAACTGCAGACTGTCAGCTTTAATTTGAGGGTATTTATATCCACATCAGGTGAACGGTGTAGGAATTACAACAGATTGCATATGTGCCTCCCACTTGTTAAGGGACCAAAAGTAATGGGACAATTGGCTTCTCAGCTGTTCCATGGCCAGGTGTGTGTTATTCCCTCATTATCCCAATTACAATGAGCAGATAAAAGGTCCAGAGTTAATTTCAAGTGTGCTATTTGCATTTGGAATCTGTTGCTGTCAACTCTCAAGATGAGATCCAAAGAGCTGTCACTATCAGTGAAGCAAGCCATCATTAAGCTGAAAAAAACAAAACAAACCCATCAGAGAGATAGCAAAAACATTAGGTTTGGCCAAAACAACTGTTTGGAACATTTCTTAAAAAGAAGGAACGCACCGGTGAGCTCAGCAACACCAAAAGACCCAGAAGACCACGGAAAACAACTGTGGTGGATGACCGAAGAATTCTTTCCCTGGTGAAGAAAACACCCTTCACAACAGGTGGCCAGATCAAGAACACTCACCACAAGAATGTAAACCATTGTGGAGCATCAAAAACAGGATAGGCCAGATTAGAGTTTGCCACATTCGACATCTAAAAAAGCCATTCAAGTTCTGTCGAATACAGACATTCCTATGGACTCCAGGAGGTAGGTGTATGTGTGTCAAAGTCAACAATCAAGAGAAGACTTCACCAGAGTGAATACAGAGGGTTCACCACAAGATGTAAACCATTGGTGAGCCTCAAAAACAGGAAGGCCAGATTAGAGTTTGCCAAACGACATCTAAAAAAGCCTTCACAGTTCTGGAACAACATCCTATGGACAGATGAGACCAAGATCAACTTGTACCAGAGTGATGGGAAGAGAAGAGTATGGAGAAGGAAAGGAACTGCTCATGATCCTAAGCATACCACCTCATCAGTGAAGCATGGTGGTGGTAGAGTCATGGCGTGGGCATGTATGGCTGCCAATGGAACTGGTTCTGTTGTATTTATTGATGATGTGACTGCTGACAAAAGCAGCAGGATGAATTCTGAAGTGTTTCGGGCAATATTATCTGCTCATATTCAGCCAAATGCTTCAGAATTCATTGGACGCCGCTTCACAGTGCAGATGGACAATGACCCAAAGCATACTGCAAAAGCAACCAAAGAGTTTTTTTTTAAGGGAAAGAAGTGGAATGTTATGCAATGGCCAAGTCAATCACCTGACCTGAATCCGATTGAGCATGCATTTCACTTGTTGAAGACAAAACTGAAGGGAAAATGCCCCAAGAACAAGCAGCGGTTGCAGTAGAGGCCTGGCAGAGCATCACCAGGGATGAAACCCAGCGTCTGCTGATGTCTATGCATTCCAGACTTCAGGCTGTAATTGACTGCAAAGGATTTGCAACCAAGTATTAAAAAGTGAAAATATGATTTATGATTATTATTCTGTCCCATTACTTTTGGTCCCTTAACAAGTGGGAGGCACATATGCAAACTGTTGTAATTCCTACACTGTTCACCTGATTTGGATGTAAATACCCTCAAATTAAAGCTGACATTCTGCAGTTAAAGCACATCTTGTTCGTTTTCATTTCAAATCCATTGTGGTGGTGTATAGAGCCAAAAATGTTAGAATTGTGTTAGAATTGTGTCGATGTCCCAATATTTATGGACCTGACTGTATTTACTTAATCCTCCGCTCCTCCCTGCAGCTAGACCAGTCCCTGCAGCTTCTGGACCCCCATGCTCCACCAGTCTAGGGCCTTGACGGCATCATGACCAGCTCTGGATGTGAGGATGCCAGGGGACAGTCCACTGCTGGATCTTAGGGGAGTGCTGCCTGCGGGGATCGGTTAAGAATAAAGGTTTCTCTTCTCCCCTAGAAAAAGCAAAAAAAAAAAAAGGGTCAGCACAGTGGCTAAATGGTTAAATGGTTAGCACTTCTGCCTCGCAGCACTACCATCATTGGTTCAAATCCCATCCACAGCATCTCCTGCTTGGAGTTTGCATGTTCTCCCTGTGCCTGCGTGGGTTTCCTCCAGTTTCCTCCCACACTCCAAAGACATGCTGCTAGGTGAATTGGTTCCTTTCTAAATTGGCCCTAGTATGTGTATGTATGAATGTAAGTTAGGGACCTTAGATTGTACACCCCTTGAGGGTTAGGGACTGATGTGAATGTGAAAATATACATGTAAAGTGCTGCATAAATTGACAGCACTATATAAGTACCTGTAATAATAAATAAACAGTCAGCACCACTGCAAGGCTTTATTTCTTATTTGCACAGATTCAGGCTTTAATCAAATGACTCTCCAATGTACTTGGAAAGAGAGTTCCAGAGTTTTTGGGCATAACAAAACAAGTCCCCCACAGAGTGTAGAAGGTTTGAAGGACACACAGAATACCACAATTAGAGGACGATACAAGGGGGGAGCAGGATGATACATGTTCACACAGATAATGAGGTGCTGAGCTGTGCAGAGTCCTATAGGGGTGCATGAGAATTCTGAAGTTAATGGAAACAGTTAAACAACACACTGCAGGTTCTGTATTACTGAAGCCTTACCAGCATAAGTAGTCAGACAAGGTCACAATGACAGTACAATGCAAGATATACTTGTTTCAACTGCCCATTTCTCAAATCCCATACCGCATCCATCACTGTAAACAGCTGCCTACATAAAGAAATGACCTGATAGCAGTAGCTGCCACAGGTAAACATATCCCATAAGGAACAACTTCTTCCTTTCTGCTGCCATCTCGCTGAGCATGCAAGAATGCTTCAAAGTGAAAAAGCAGGAGAGGTAACCACCTTCTTGTACAGAAACAAGGCCTACAGAAGCTGAACAGCGAAGTTCACCTTTCCTAGAAAATAGCCTTGCAGTCAAGGGTCCCCAGCAGGTAATAAAATACTGCGCATCTTTGTAAAATGTTCATTAATTTTATTAAATTAAATTGTCAAACTCTGCACCTCTGGATGATATCCCTAATCAATATGGTACAGCTGCTAATCACCCCTGCTGTCCACATGGATAATAGCACACAATAAGTTATTAATGATATCTGGTGCTGCGCTGAAAAGTACAATTTTATTGTCATACCTGCAGGCCATTTGGACCCACCAGAAGCCTGGCAGGAACTCCCAGTTGGTGATCCCCACATCCTGGCTTATGCATTGGATGTTCACTCCCGCCACAACAGGAGCAAAAACTGGTGCTTTTTGGATGTGGGGATCGCTCATTGGGAGTTTTTTGGCCAGGCGTCCGGGGGGGGGGGGCAATTGGCCTACAGGTAAGGAAATAAAATAAATGAATATTTTACAAAGCTGCACAGTTTGTAATATCTACTGGGAACACTTGACTGCATAGGCTATTTCCTAGGTAAAGGAGAACTTAACTTTTTAAGTCAACATGACAATTAATTCATAGACAGTCAGCAATGCAACTACAGTCCATAGATGCAACTACAGACAAAAACAAACGTCCACACTGAGCAGTGTATATATATATATATATATATACTGCTCAGTGTGTGTATATATATATATATATATATATACACAGTATATCTCATAACAGGCAAACCTGACCAGACCTGGAAAGGCTATAGAATCAGTTAAAGGAGAACAGTAATTGTGAATTTAGTTAATACTGGTATCAATCACTTGCCCTGTTTTGATATGAAAAATGACAGCATCAATCAAATTCATTTTCTCATGTTGCACTCTCATTAGTAAAAAAAAAAAAAAGATTAGTTAAACAGTAAATAAACTGAGAGTAACACTGGGTCAGCGAAAAGAATGAGATGGAGGTAACATGTTAATAGCTGGAATCTTGTAGATAAATTATGAATAGGGTGGAAAAACTTCAAAATAAAATAAAAAGTGAAAATGCTGAATGTGGGTACCAGATGAGGACGAAAAAAAAAAAAAGGACAGCAGGAGATGGAGGCCGCAATTATTCAGAAAGCAATGAATTGGTAGAAAGGACAGCGAGATAAGGAGATCAGGAATGACAGAAAGAAGAACAGAAGAAAGGCAAGTAGAGAAATAAACTGTCAGAGGGCAAAGCGCAGAGGGATAGGTGGCCAGGGAGAGACGGTGGCTGGGATTAGAAAACCCGCATGCCTCTAGATTGTGGGAGACAGGCAGAGTAATGAGATGAGACTGTACAAGTGCCTGCTCTTCAGCGGGATTACCATGTCATTGTAATTCAATTTTTTAGTTGAGGGCCTAAATGATATATATAATGTTCAACTTGAACAGAATGCCAGGCAAAATTACATCCAATCCAGAGTCTCAGGTGTACCAACGCTGGGTGTAAATTATGGCGGCATGTTCTAGTATGGCCAAAAACACAGTGCTCATTTAGCCCATGTGCATCCAATTCTGCGCATACGTCCTGAATGCACAGGGGCCTAAACCTGAGTACCAGGGGCGGACTGACCATTTGGAAACTCGGGCACTGCCTGAGGGCCCGGGGGTCAGTAGGGGGCCCCATGAGATGCCCCTGGTACCTTTTTCATAGGGTTTTTTTTGAGTTTGGGCATGGACACAGGGGCCCCATGATCCCCTATTGCCCGGGGGCCCCATGAGTTGTCAGTCCACCCCTGCTGAGTACCATTTAGTACATCACCCAGCTGCAGAATATTTCAGCCTGCCATAGACTTTGACAATGCTGCACCCATGCCTTCCAGACACACTTAAACACTGCAAAAGGACACATACCTGCTAAATATCCTGTGTGCATGTGATCTAAGGTGGATGGAAGCTGGAGGCTTCTATTCCTAGGACAGAAAAGAGGGCCTACATCCAATATCTACACTGCCCAGAGCCCTCTGGACAATGGGCAAACTATAGGGACAAGGAAATGCATTATTTATTTATTCCAGGTGTTTATCTCTCGCCGGACATTTACGCAGTCCATACAAATGTAGGAAAACTGAAAAAGTAGGGGCACTGGAGAAAATCTGCATGACAACTCTAGAGCCAAATTATAATGTAACAAATACTACTGTACACATAATAAGGAGATTCAAATGTAGAGATAAGGTGAACGGTACAGCTTACGGCACTGCAAATAAAGGCATTACTTAACACCGGGCCACTCAAAGATGGCTGCCACCATAATCTTCGTGGTGAGACACTAAACCCTGCTACTGCAGCTGGATACATGACTTCAACTTTGTTACATTGTATTAAGGACACAGGACAGGGGAGGTAGGATACATTGTTTGTCACAGGGGATCTGCACAATATTTGCAGTGTTTACAGGGGATACTTGCAACATTTTCTTCCGATCTAACATACGGTCCCTAAATATTTTAAGACATTCAGCACTAGTTGACAAAACATAATGATATTGTATGTAAACACAAAGACTTTACGTGCCCATGTGACAAAGCCTCCAGTTTGCAGTTCTGAGCCAATTTCTAAAAGCAGAGAAATAAATCAAAGGACACAGGAGGCTGCTGAAGTGCAGACATGACGGTGCTGGTACAGTGGCTTGGGAGGCAGTAAGCAGTTGCGCACAGCAGCACAATGATATATGAGCCATTGATGGCAAATTGTGCCCAGTGCACACAAGTATATTAGTGGATGCAAAGTCCTGAGTACACCTCCTGCCCACACAGGAATCCCCTTCCAATTTACCCCCCCCCCCCCCCCCCATGTATATAAATATATTAGTCCAACATATTATTTAATAGTCACACAGATCCAAAAAAAAAACCCCAAAACATTATACAGGAATAAATGAATCAATCATCAGGATTGCATAATATGAATGGATGGATTTGATTTTCCAGCAGGCCATGGAGACAGAGAGAGGGACTCACCTTCTTTCAGATGGGACTGTTCATCTCCTAGAACAGGGTGTAGATGTCATGTATACACCGGCAGGGTGACCTGCTGCCTCTCACCTCTCCCTCTGTGGGCTGCCTGGAGTGAAGGGGGGTGTCGGATGCAGAGTGTCGCTGGTGTGTCGCCGGGGTGCGGAGTGACAGCTTAGGACAGGCATGGTTTGTCCCCCATGGCAGAGTCCCCCCAGATCCCCTCCTTGCAGAGAACCCCCAGGATGGAGGGATGGATGGATGGATGACAGCAGCTGTCACAGGTGTCTCAGATGTCTGAGCCCCTATTAGGGGCAGCTCGCCTTTCCGCCGTCATCCCCCGAATCCAAAATCCTTCTTCCCGAGCAGGTGGAAGGCGATGGCAGGCAGGCAGGCGGGGGAGGAGGAGGAGGGAATGCAAGCTAAGCAGGACTTGCAGTCACATGGATGGTCCCAGAATCCTGGCGAGGTGTGCCCCCCTCCTTGCTGGATTTGGGGGATCCCCGTGTGTCCTTGTCCTTGTGCTGATTCAGTGTGTGTGTGCTCAGCCTCCCTCCTTATCTGATCCTCTGTCTATCTAGCAGACTGGTCCAGCTGCCCCTCCCAGCAACTGCTGACTGCAGAGATGTTGTGTTCCATCACCATGTGCATTCTGGGCTCTGTAGTCCTGAGCTGTCATCTCAATGCAGCCTCAGCTCATTGGTTCCTGGCACATAGATTTTGGGACCATGCACTTCCTAATCTTTCTTATGTGCAATGCATTCTGGTCAAGGCTTTCCTTGACCTCAGAACCAATTGCAATGCATGCTGGGCCCTGTGCTGCTCTGGTTCTGCGTTACATAATGGCATGCATGCAACGATCTGATCGAACGATTCTTCGCAGAACTGGACAATAGGATTTACTCTATGAATTATTGAAAGAACACATGCTGGGGGGAAATTTATTAACACTGGAGTGGCGAGGATCTACAGCAACTGTGCATGGCAACCAATTATTATTATTACAGGTATTTATATAGCGCCATCAATTTACACCACGCTTTACATATATATATATATATATATATATATACAGGGGCGGACTGACAACTCATGGGGCCCCCGGGCAATAGGGGATCATGGGGCCCCTGTGTCCTTGCCCAAACTCAAAAAAGCCTATGAAAAAGGTACCAGGGGCATCTCATGGGGCCCTCTACTGACCCTGGGCCCTTGGGCAGTGCCCGAGTTTCCAAATGGTCAGTCCGCCCCTGTGTATATATATAAATATATATAGTACATTCACATCAGTCCCTGACCCCCAAGGAGCGTACAATATAAGGTCCCTACTTACATTCATACATACACATACTAGGGCCAATTTAGACAGAATCCAATTAACCCACCAGCATGCCTTTGGAGTGTGGGAGGAAACCGGAGTTCCCAGAGGAAACCCACACAGGCACAGGGAGAACATGCAAACTCCAAGCAGGTGGAGCCATGATAAAGGTAAAATCACCTGTTATCTTCAGCTTGTTCACTTGAGCTTTGAAAATGAAAGATAGAAGCTGACTGGTTGCCCTGTACAGCTGCTCAATTACTGACTGATCCAATTTTGATAAAATTCCCATCACCGTGTCACTCACTGATCAATTTTAGGTAAAAATGATCAGCTTCATCAAAATTATACGGATCGGTCTGGACTAAAAGTAGACAGATCAATATGATTGTTAATGGTAATCATACATATTTAGATTTTAATATTTGATCGATGTGTGATTTAAAGAAAACGATTGATTTGCAGACATTTGAATAGGTGTAACTTCCCTTTTGAGAGATTAAGATCCCATTCACACTTCAGAGTTTTTTCATCTCAAAGCTTGACGCTCAGAAATGCTCAACAAGTAAAATTCCATTATTTCCAATAGCCCCTGTTCACACTTCAATGTTCTGTCACCTGTAGCAAAACGTCTGTCCCTCAAAAAAAGTACTTTGCTACATTTTAGGCAGATCTAAGCGATTTGTCCCCATAGATTTGAATGGAAAATGCCTGAACAGTGGGAACGAGCATTTTTTCAAGTGTTTTTTTAGGTGTTTTAATCTCAAACAGCAGCTATTTCTATTTCTATTGGCCACAGCATAAATGCCTAAATGAGAAACGCCTGAAAAAACGCCTATGATGTTTGCAAAGCTGCTCAAAAACTGCTCAAAAACACCTGAAAAACGCTCAGTGTGAATGGAGCCTTAAGTTGACCATATATTATACAATTTTCTTATTCAGTTTCCTTTAGATTTACCTTCAACTATGTAGTGCAAGGGCCTGCCTGATTGCATACAAATTGAAAGTGTTTAGGTTCAACCTCATATTATACGGTTTTGGTAAATCTAAAGGGAAATTGTACAAAAAATGATATAATGTATGGCCAGCCTTAGACTTGATGTAGATTGGATTCAATCAAACTGATTCAATTGGCCAGGATGGGAAAATATCAATCACTTTGCATCAATTAGCAGCACTGAGATTTTTTTGGTGATAAATTCAATCATATTTCAATTGACCGGATTATGAGATGACATGGTGACAACAAAGATGCATTTGCTAATTTACAATGGTATCTCCCAACTATAATTTGAAATCCACTTCCCCATGTGTGGCATATCAATTGAATGAGTTGTCAACTATAGGTCAATTATCCCTATCAGAAGTTATCAGTCAGAAAATAAATTGATCATTTATCAAAGCATGTATGGCCACCATGGTGGTTGGTTGAGTTGGACTATATGGTGGCCATAAATGGAATGATTTATATACAATAATATTGTTGATTGATTACACTGTCCGGGAGAAAAATATGATCCGAAGATCAAAAAGATTGTTCGCTACTCCAAACAATAATAGTGGAAATACATGCTTTATTAACCACTTTCATGGCACCCTATAGTGGAAATACTGCTAAAGGGCGGCAGGGGTGTGCAAGATCATGTATATATATATACGTGATTTTGCACTGGCAGCGTCACCTGTCAATCACCGGGTCCCGGATTCCCCACTGGCACCCGGGCGATCATCGTGTATCATGGACGGGAGAGAGACCTGTATGTAAGCAATCTCTCCCCTGTCAGTTCCTGCACAGAGCCATAGAAAGCAGTGTGCTTACAGTGAAGCACACACACAGCACACAGTGAAACAGCACACAGCACACAATTAAACCCTTTGATCGACCCACATGTTAACCCCTTTTTATTAGCACTGATCACTGTATTGGTGTCACTGGGGATGTCAGTGACAGTTAGTTCCCCCCCAGTATCAGAATGCTCACCGGAGTCCCGCTATAAGTCGCTGATCGCCGCCATTACTAGTATTAAAAAAACAAATTGCAGTATATATACTGCCATTTGAAGACGCTATAACTTTCATGTAAACCAATTAATTTTCATGTATTTTGATTTTTTTTTTTTAGCAAAGACATGTAGCAGAATACATTTTGGCCTAAATGTATGACATAATTTGATTTTTAACATTTTTTTACTGGACATGTTTAATAGCAAAAAGTCCAAAATATTTTTTTTCTCAAAATTGTCGCTTTTTTTTTTTCTCTTTTATAGCGCAAAAAATTAAAAATGCACAGGCGATTAAATACCACCGAAAGAAAAAACTCTATTTGTGGGGAAAAGGACATAAATTTCATTTGGGTGCAGCTTTGCATGACTGTGCAATTGTCAGTTAAAGTAACGCAGCGCCGTATCGCAAAAAATGGCCTGGTCAGGAAGGGGGGTGAATCCTCT